GCGCCTGGACAGGCGCCGCCGGGGTACAGCGCGGGACACGCGTGGAACGCGGTACGGCTGGCCTCCGGGGACTGGAAGCTCGTGGACTCGTGTTGGGCGGGCGGCGCGCTGGATCCGAGCGGGGTGTTCATTAGACGGTGGGACGCTGAGCATTTCGTGGCGGACAATGAGGAGTTCGGGGCGAGGCATTTTCCGGACCCGGGCGAGCCGTGGAAACAGTTTGTCGAACCCGGGAGGGAGAGGACGTGGGAAGAGTATATCAGCGCGAGGGACGAGGGCCCGACGGTGACGGGTCCGTTTGGGGAGGACGAGTATGCACGGGGGCTGTTGTGGCCGAAGACGGGGGTGATTGGGGCGGGGAGGGTGGATACTGTGTATGTGAAGAAGAAGTGTGGGCATTTTAGGGAAGGGGAGGGGGATGAGTATGTGCATGTTGTTATGGGCCCGTTGGATGCGCAGGAGCGCAGCCCCGGGCGGGCGGGGTGGAAGGCTATGAGTTTGGATGAGGTGAATGGGGGGTGGAGGTTTGATGGGTTGAGGGTTGTGAAGGGGGAGGAGCTTATGGTTGCTGTTGTGACGAGTGTGGGGGGACGGGATGCGAAGGGGATGGGGAGGAGGGAGTATGAGAGGGTGATGGGGAAGCAGGAGATGGGGTTCTCGGTGTTGTGTCAGTGGAAGGTGGAATGAGTGTTCTGTGGCGGGGGTATATTGGATTTTATTTGGACTAACACTCTTGCTTACTGGGTCATACTGTTCTCTTGGATGTACAATCGAGCTCAAGGAAATTGTAGTTCTCTTCGCACAACATACACTGTACTTCATTCTCCCTATACCTATTTATATTCACTAGCAGACAATTTATGGCGAAAGGACTCTCAGATATTGGTATCGCTCTCGCAAAGCGAGTACACAGATAATGTTTCGCGGGAAATAAATATATGATGTCGACGATGATTGGTTCGCAGCAAGCCGGTGCTCCCATCACAAGCTCATCCACCACTCCCTCTTCCGTACCCTCCCCTCCTCAATGCCCGACGTTCGCAAGTAAAATCAAGTCTCATATACACTAAGCGCGTCATAGCGTAGCATAGTTCTGGTCTTTACAGTAGTCCGGTGAGTGTCGAATCGACATGTGTCGTCGCGACCGTCCAAGCTCTAATCCCCTGTCTACAGCGATGTAAAAACGACCTCAGGGTCCCTGCAATGCAATGCATTCTGTTGCTCAATCCACTGAATGAGCGTGCACATATTGCAGTCGAGGGCGAGACCTCAGAACACGGCGACTACATTTCAATGTTAACCACCGCCGTCTTCCTCTTCCTCGATCTTTCCCGCTCGTAGCTGACCAGCCTCGAAGGCTGAGGCTGACATGTCAGCCCCCAGCAGTATACCTTACCGGTGAGCCTCAGTTCCCTCTTCTCCAGTTCCCTCTCTGTCTGGTCATCGCATGCGTAGGAGCAGCATAAGATCGGAGTAGAGTCATAGTCGCGAAGCGGCTGCAACTGCGTAGTGGCAGGATGGGTAACAGCGGCCCGGACGCCACAAATATTGCTTTTTCCCGGATCAGACGAATAATTAGACCATACCTCTGTACGCAACCAGATTTACAAGGACGTGAATTTAGGTCCACATTCATGGGGCTTCAGACCCGGTGCTGGATTTGCTGGGTTTTGTTGTACATTGCAGTCAGCAACGACGATCATCAGGGCAATGTCTTTCAGCACGCTTGGTACTGATGGGCTACACTTCGTATTAAATGAGAATTTTGTGCCGCAGATACAGCGGTGTGAAGCATGAACTCGTTATATACACTACCATGTTACTGTAGTAGGTGCGCGCTCCAAGCACTGCGATTACCAAAACGAGAGGGAGTGCTTGGCGGATCAATACGCAAGCGCTCTGGCCAGAAACGGTTTTCTCGCTGAGGGTCGCTGTCACTGTCGTCAACCCGGGATTCCTGAACTGCACCGTTGTTGACTGTATAAACACGCAAAGCTTCGTCTTTTCTCTCTCAAGTTGAGGCTCAGGGGCCTAGAAGCATCGCTGTGATATAGGCTAACGATTTGCTTTGCGGCCATCTCGTTACATGCTCGCCACCCCCTAATCACCAGCAAGGCCTCAATTATACTCAAAACGCCCTCGTCGTACCTCAGGCCCTCACCGGAGATCGGTTATGTATACAGGCAGATAATGACACGGTGTGTGTCGGCCTCTATGAGCATGACTGATTAACTTTCCGAATAGCTTAACAGGGATACAACGTGCACAGCGCATCGCGAACCACGGGATCTCCTAAAACAGTAATGGATCCGCTGAGAATGAGCTCAGTGGTGATGTCTTGAGGATACAGTTATAATTACACGAAGAAAACCACATGTAATGGAAAAGAAGATGGTGCTCTTCGGAGCCTTCGTGGTTCTTGAATGCGGTACGCCTCATTATGTTTTTTTTTCCCGCACCGAGTCTTACATAGTATTGCTACAGGTTCATGTTGTCTACCGTGCCGCACTACAAGACGAACAACAGCGTCGGCAGCAATGTCGCGCTCTATGTCTCAGTCAGCTACTCGTGCTATCCACTGTTATGGGGCGCGAAGACTTTTCGTTACCCTCAAATCGATCTGCTTCCTTAAGGCCCTCTTTTCCTCTCACACTTTTACCCACCACCACGGCATGCTCGAACGCGTGTCTTTCCACATTTGGGTGTTCCGCCCTCACAGCTATGCGCTCATCCCTCGATCACCCGCTCTCCGGAGGCCAGGCCTTTTCGCCAAACCTCCGCTGCATACGGAAGACACCAGCGGACCGCCTCCGAGGTGGATTGGTTTGCAGCGTCCAGGTCGACGCCCCGTTCGTGCGCTCTGGTCTGGTCCGGGCGGGTCTGCTATGTCTGGTGACTGTATTCAAGACATCGCCTTAGCCTCAACGAGATGTTGTCTTGGTCCCATCCAGCGGCGACGGGCAAGTTGGCCGCACAGAGTGGCGGCTCCTTCAACCACGAGGCCACTCATCTAACCTTCGCGCCCCAGCTCCATTGAATCACACAGCGGCGAACGGCGAGTCCTGGCCGCAGGCGCCCGGAACTGTATGCCCATGGAATCGCTCCGAACGCCGATGGTCCCTTGCCGAGATTTCGGGGAGTGGCCATCTGCATCCGGCTTGGTGCTGTGGGCGGAAGAGTGGGAACGCAGGCGATGGGATCCAACGGACCATGGGTATGTCTCCGCAGACTTTGCACCTTCGTCATACTACAGCGGACTCAACTCTAGGTTCACGGTTTGGTCACCGTAAATTTTGGCGTTTTTTGGGGGTGGGCCGCTCGTCGTTCTATATAAGAGACACTGGTTCAGCTGACCGACTTCTCTCGGTACGAAGCTTGCTCTGCTCGTTTTCTTTCCGCGCATACACGCCGTTTGCATCACCTTCCATTCTGCCCTCCGCGATGTTCATGCGCACCCTCCCAATTTTCTGCGCCCTGCTTGCGCTCTTCGTACTCTTCGCTGAGTCGGAGGGCCGACCCATGCGCAGCAGGACTTACTCGAAGAAGGAACTTGTTGAAGCTCGGGACTGGAGCAACTCGAAACGGCTCGCGAACGGTCTCCCTCCGCGTGCTCCCAACTTGCGCCGTACACCGACGAGGAGGGGTTCTCCGAGTGCTTCTCCTTCTCCTTCACCGTCAGTTGGCTCTACCGTAAAGACGTAAGCGCCATTTTGCTCGACGACGCAGTTCGCTTGATACTCAATCTGGATTTATCAGTTTCAGCGGACGTATCATTATCAAGACTACGCCTGCTGCCCCCTTCATTGGCTTTGTTAGCGGTGGCTCGCCGTGAGTGTCTTACTCGTGTGCCAAAATGTGCTCGCTAATACACACTGCGCATCCAGCGCCCGTGTTGACGTGAAAGGCGCGACTGGCGGTGACCTTGAAGTCCAATTCACTACCCCACTCTTCTCCAACACCCCCTTCAACCTGCAGGCAACCGTAAGTAGCTAGCCTACATACATCTGAATTATAGGAATGAACGCTGACTTATGATGATATCGTGTCCTGTTCAAATCATTCCGCGGTCTTCTTCTGCCGCCTCCTCCTTTCGGTACCGATCACGCCTTGTCATGAAATTGTTGTGGTCCTTTCTTTTCGCTCACAATGATAGAACGGCAACTTCACGTCTGCCTTCATCGGAGGTGCCGGCGACTCGCAGCTAGCTGCTCACTCATCTGCGTGAGTACTTCGACATAGATCTGAACGCTTGAACATGTCCCAACCTAATACATTCGTGCAGCCATGTCCAGATCACTAACGTTAACGCAAGTAAGCCCCGTCCGCGCGCTTTCTCTACCGCGCCGTTGAATAACGATGTTATCTTAGCCCCCATTAACGCAGAACCCACATCCGCAGGCGCCTCAGCTATCTGGGTTTTCGACTACCGCACGCACCAGATCAAGCGTAAGTTCACTGCGCGATCTTGTCTCCGATACAGGGTGGAACGCTGATTTCTGTATGATCGCAGCTCGCTGGGTCAACGTCGATGGCAGCGTCCCTAATGTCGTCATTGGGTACAACTGGCAGAGCAACGAGCTATTCCTGACCGGTGACTTAGCCGCTTACAACTCTGCCACTGGCGGCAAAGCTGTCGCAGTCGTACGTCAATACCCTCTGTCATATTGTTCGTCTACTTACTGTTACCATCACAGCAATTCTATCTCTCTGCGTAAAGACATCTCGTTATGATCATGGACATTGATGACTTGTGATGTACTCTGCATGGACATTTGAGACTCTTGTGAACTAGTGTACCGCTTCGCACGTATGTTAGCTTTCTCGGACATTTCCACAACATCCTTGTATCTAGTACCATTACGACTTGTTCTCTTCCTCTAGAACCCTGAAACGACGATTTGTTGTGTACTTGATTGATCGACGCTATCTCCTTGGCATGGATTTTTGCCGGCACTGTTCACTGCGAAGGCTTTTCCACGCCCAGCAAGTGCAAAAGTACTAGCCCACCGCGAGGGTCGAACTCGCAGCCTTCAGATCACAGGTACATGTGAATCACCCGCACTCAGTAAGAGTCTGACGCTCTATCCGATTGAGCTAGGCGGGCGATATAGAAAGGTAAATTTGGGTTTATATAATGACTACAGTCTCGTCTGGTTCCAAAGTCTGTTCATGCATCCCAACAATAAGTACAAGATGCCATCCTGCGCAGACTGGATCCACCATGTCGAACGACGCTGACAGTGGCACACGTCATCCCACAAAGTGCAATAACCCCTTCCTATGGAGCTTCGCCATGTGCTCCCTGAACCACGCCTTGTGCTGCTCGAACCTGTCAGGTGCACAGCGCACCGCGCGCAGGTCGAGAGTGCACCGCTCGAGCGTCGGGACGCCCGCAAGCATCGCGCTGACCCATGTGGACCGTAGCCCGACCCAGGGAATGTGATTGTCCATTTCGCCGTGCGGCACCAGCGTCACACAGCGCAGCGGCGGCAACTGGTGCTCCCTGTCGTCATCAAATTGCTGGAGGGAGAGGATGATGCGGTGCAGTATATCCCAGGCTAGGTCCGTGAGTAAGAGCTGCACGGTCAGCTCACGCAGGCGCGGTAGCGCGCAGAGGTCGATGAAAAGCTCTGGAGGGACTACATCATGAACAAAAAACCCGTTATTTGCTTGGGATTTCTCTCAAACATTGCAGAAGAGAGCAGCGACGTACATATGTCTGTGGCGCGTTGTGGTTCGAAACACTGCGTGAAGTCGAGATGGAGCTCCTCGAGCAGGTGTGAGGCGGGACGTATCAACGACCAAGGAATATTCCAGTACGACACAAACTTGACGTGGAGCGCACGCAGCGTGCCTTGGTTACCGAACGTCGGCGAGCAGTGAAGGCGTTTCCCGACACCTGGGTGGATGGGAGTGCCAATCACAATGGTGCGTGCGGCGAGTCGCGCGGGAAGGTTCTCTAGCATTGAATAGCACACCAAGCCCGCTGGCAATCTGGCGCGCATAACTAGCGTGGAGACGGAGCCAAACCAGGCGGTCGACAGCTGCAAGACATCAACGTCGGGCAGCTGGGCTGTGGGGTAGGCGATCGTGAGCGTATCGAGGTCTATTGGCGCGGCGGTGTCTGCGTGTGCCGTCGTGATCGTGGATACATGAGCTGTGAGCTGTACGCTGTCAAAGACCAGATTGATAAGGTCAACTGCGCGCACATCATGGAAGCGGAGGAGGGTGTGGACCAGGTTTGGGTCGCATCCTCTCCAAACCGGCTCGTCAGAGCTCTCTATTGATTCGTCAGAGCTCCATACTGACCCGTCTGAGCTGTTTTCTGGGCTCTCTACGGGCATGTCATCCATGATCAGCCGCAGGTGGCGAACGGGGCCGGGGAGGAGGGGATGGCTATCGAGCCACTGCAGAATGTCCAGGAGCCCTCTGCGACGAGTAACAGTGTCTACTGTAGAGCTCATTTCGAATCGGATAGACAGGACACGGAGTAGATACGGCTGAGTCGCAACGTGCCAGCGTCGGCAGACAAGGCTGAATGCAAGGAAGCATTGCTTGATGGCCACTTCGTCCTCCGTGTAATCTTGTGAGGTGAAGTCCTTATAATAGTCTTTGAATGGATAATACTTGGGGAAAGACTCGCTGACACAGTCAAAGACAATGTAGAGGATGTCAAAAGGGAGCGCGTTCCAGAGCAGTGGTGGCTGCATGATTTCTGATGTCTTGCTCATATCCTTCGATGAGTGGGGCTGCATTTCCAAGCTGAGTAAGGAGCGTGGAGTGGGGACAGAAAGTTGAGTAAGGACGAAAGGTGCTCAGGCGTGATGCACACCGATTGTACAGTCGGTGCCTATTATGCTCGCTTCCTCAGTACACGTCCCAGGTATGTAATTGGGCGCTAGTACGTACTGATTTTCCTTGCATGCGCCAGGTACACCTAATGGCGAGAGGTCAGTTGGCTCGCGTGTGTCCTTTACCGCTAACAGAATATCGATAGACTTGAGCTGCGCGACAACAGAGGAGCAAGTGACGGCTGTGAGGACCCTGGACCACTCCCGCGCGCTTGAACACATTGACGCCACGCCCAGAGATGAGCTCTTTTCTATCTCATACGCTTCTTAGCACGACGACGGCCTACATCAATCACGCTGGAAGCCGACAACCCATGAGAGCAGAGAAATTACGTTCTATTTAACCCAAATAGTACTGATACAAACATGCCATGACGGAGGAAGAAGTCCAAGAGTGACATATCCCAAGATGACCCAAACTAAAACAGCAGCGACCTAATCAAGAGCCCCGTTTCCATTACAGTAATCTACATTGCCCTGAGCCGGGTTGCCGGCCCACGCAGGGAACGGTCGCTCGGTGCCTGAGGCTCCAAAGACAGCGAACGAGAGGATGAAGATCATAACCTGCGCTCCGCCGTCGAGCGCACCGCCCAGGATGTAGTTGTACTTCTTGTACCAAGAGGGGTGGTAGCGGCGCAGCCATACTTGGGAGAGGATCCCGACGACGATGGAGGTGCAGACATCGGAGTTCACACCGACGGTCATGTTTGAGGAGTACTGCAGATGATCAATTAGAATGTGACGGTAAAACCACGGGAGTAGACACAAATAGCACGTACGCTGTATATGATAGGCAAGGAGATGTTTTCGATCTTGAGAGGACCGATTTTCGGCCAACGCTGTGAAGTAAGGGTCATGAGACCTAAAGCTCCTCGGTGAATAACTACAGGTCGCTCACCTTGGCAAGAACGTATTGTATGATGGTAGGGCCCATTCCGATAAGCAGACTCATGGGAATGAGGAAGTAGGGCCCCTTGGGACTGTACAGTTCCTTCGCGAGAGACCATGTGACAGCCGCGCTGTTGAGACTCTGTGTCGTCTGACCGGACTGCATGGGAGAGTCAGTGATTAATCTCACTTCGCACGTGATTGCAACTTACCCAGATGTTGGTACCGACAGGGCTGAGCAGTGTGTCACGCTGAGCGTCGACAACGGCAACCATGACAGCTGAAAGACGCAATTATCAGCAACGCTCAACCACATTGTGGATCACAGAACGTACCGTAGTTAACAATGGCTCCGAGGATGGTACCCCACACCTGGGTCAAGAACATGACACGGGGAGGAACCTTGAGGTACTGGCCCATCTTCAAGTCTCCAGCAAGGCCGATCGATGTAGCAATAACATCGTGGCTCCACATCGAGAACTGGAGACGGAGGTCAGCAAAGTCGTACCGTGAAAGAGGTATTCTATACGTACGTAAAGGTTTGCGACTGGCTTTCCGGGGTTGACAGCACCGGCGACCATCTTCATCAGCTGGTTGGTGGCGATACCGTTGCCGGCGCGGGCGTAGAGAAGCGTGGAGAAGGGAGTGACGAAGGCACCGAGAAGCAGAGCAATGACGTATGCCCACGCCGGGAGCGTTGTCTCGCCCTTGAGCACGACAATCAACCCTATTCGAAAAAGTGAGAAACACGGTCATGAGCGGGGTAGTTGGTCTGCAACGTACCGGCGAAGAAAGCCAGCACTAGGAGGCCCGCGTACCAGTACCAAGGAGCTTCCTTGTACTTCTTCATAGCCTGCAAAAGATTACGAAACTCAGCGGCGATGTCGGGAAAGAGAAACAGGCTGATTTACCTGCCAATGTCTGTCGGGCTGCGTTCCGGCCTTAGCCTGCTTGAACGACTTAACGACGTAGGGGCCCCAGAAGAGAACGGTGTGTGCGAAGAGGGCGCCGATAGCGAGGTTCTGAGTGAGGTTGCTCCATGCGTTGGAGCCTAGGGGAAACACAAAGTCAGTTTCACTGAGAGCCTCTCAAGGGACACTGCGGCTGACCTGTGAGCGCGGGTAGACCAACCTCTTCGAGGGCGGTCTTGTTGAGCGTGAAAGTGCTGCCAAACACTACTTTCTGCGGGTAACGCGTTCCGTTCTGAGCGAAGAGAGAGGTGGAAAGCATGGGGAATGACTTCGACTGGTATAACAGCATAATTCAGAGATGAGATATGCAGAATAAAATCAGGATACTCACGTTCCATGTGTTGGTGTAGTAGATGGCCATGACGATGATGTAGCAGAAACCAATGCCGACCCAAGAGTTTGCTACAAAGGGTCTGAGCTTCATAAACCCACATGAGGGGAAATTTGCTTACCTTGTTGCAGAAGCGGGTAACTCATCGCGACGGAGGTGATGTACTGCCAATCCAGACCGAAGCTGAGGAATCCAAGACCCTCATTACCGTTCGTGCCACCGAAGAGGTTGGTGATAACATCCACAGCGCCAGAGGGCGACTTCTGCGTCGACAAGCAAATGATGTTGATTCCGTTGAGCAGGGGGAAGATGTACGAGGGGAAGACCTCGTAGATGAACATGACCGAGAATGCGATCCAGAAGAGCTTGACACGCTTGGCGTTGCCGGATGTGTCGAAGTGGAGCGCTTGGAAGATGGAGACTGTCGGGAGGTTGGCCCAGTAGACCATCTCGGACGGGTACACGGTGAGGGGGCGGAGGAGACCGACGAGACCGTAGCCGAAGCATGCGGTGGAGAATGTCGCAAGGACAGCAGTCGTAGCGTGGACATTAGTGTCATAATACAACTATTTGAAGATCTCGGTCAGACGCATTTTTGGGGATATCAAGATGAACTCTTACTCGTTGAACGGCAAAATTCATGACCGCAGAGCTTCCGCCCGCTGCGGTAGATGCAATGAGGGAGGCAACAACGTGCTATTTGAGTCGAATATGATATGTCAGTATTCTCTCTCCTGTGTATCGTATAACTTGCATACCTCTTTAATACCGAAGGGTCCTGGGTTTATGAAGTGTATCCAGCGCGAGAACCGGGCGAACCGAGTGCCTTCAACCCACGAAGCACGGGGAAGAAGAACAGACCACGCATTCCCGATCGTGTAAATGATCAGGAGCAGGAAGACGGTAGACACGGTAACTTGGACGGGCTTGAAAAGGTAGATCTAGGAATTACGGCGTATCAGATATTGATCCTGCCTCTCTGAACGCAGTCTATGCACGCACCTGGCAGAGCGCAGCGCCAAGCCCCGCAAACACCGTTCCCAAGAACAGTGATCTGAAAGTC